AAAAAGTGAATTAATTTCATAGTGATTAATTAGCTTTCCTAAATTTATTTTCAGTTTAATTGTCTGTAGAAATTGTAGGGTTCTTCTTTGGCTGTGTTTTCCCAGTCTTAACCTCTAATTAGTGAGCTGCAGTCCTCTTTATTCCATGCTTTCCATGAGCGTGGTTCCGGCAGTGAGGTGGCGAGGCATGCAGAGATGGAGCCGTGGTCCAGAGAAAGGATCAAACAGGTTCCCCTGATTTCATATACATGGGGGTGTTACTCTTAACTCCGTGGGCAAACCGCTACTAGAAGGAATGAAAGAAGCACCAGCAAAAACAGCAAGTGCAAGCAGCTCTTGTGATCTCGGGGCATGGTTAGAGCTGAAAGGATTTGTGGTGGAAGTGCTTGTGGTGGCTGTGGTGAATGAGCCACAGGCATCCCACAGGGGGTGAAGTCTCACTGCTGGTCTCTGGCTCACATGGCACAGATGTCCTGCGCTGCCACCTGGCAGTGCCGCTTCTTTCCGTGGCCACGTAGGGAAATGAGCCTTCTGGCAACGGTCTGCAGGTTTGCATCCAAAGTACACATCTGCTCCAGAGAGCTCGAGTATTGTTCTAACTGGGAATAGACTGCAAGGCAAGGCACTCTGAGATAGCAGTGTAGATAAGGGGTACATTTCTTTATCAAAAGGTGAACAGTGGAGCTGGCAAGAAGGAAGGATGGCAAGGGTTAAGAATCGTGCTCTGGTGTGTATGTGGTGAAGTTACTGGCTTGGTGCTGCTGCCTGGTGATTTCTCTTCCTGCATGGCACCGTTAATGTGTGATGTGTCCATCTGCTGTCCTTGTGTGCTACAGAGCAAAGAAAGATTCTTGTCCAGTATAACCTCAGCGAAGTTTTCATCAAGGCCTTAATACCGCTTCTGGTTGAATACCAGTCTTATAGCAGCAGTGCTCATTTACTGCAATTTTGGTAGGTAATAAGCTTTAATCTCCTTCATCACTAAGAAGTGCCCTAATCATAGCTTTAGGGAGCTCTCTCGGGAGTATAACAAAACTGCCTGGCTCCAGTCCTCACACCTCACATGGCCAATGGTACCCCAGAGCAGGGACAGAGCTGGTGCTCTGGCAAACCAGGAGCAGGGCAGTGTTGGCTGGGGAAGTAACAGCGCTATTGCTCCAGCCTGCTGATTGCTGAGATGAATGGTGAGTATCTGCAGCTAGGAGAGATGAGAGAACCCCAGCAACCTGACAGGAGAAAAGAAGAGTCCCACAGAATCTGCAATGCTGTCATTTCCAGTGATTTCAGCTGGGCTCTTGGCTCTGTCATGCCCGTGAAAGTATCTGCAGGCCTTCACATCACTTTGATTATTTCTGGTCTGCCTTTCCTGTAAAGTTTCTGAAAAGAATTTTTCATGGAATGTGAAAACGGTAACAGAAAAAATAACAATTATGGGTTCTTTCCTCTGCATTTTTCAAACTTCAGACAACGTTTTTCATTTTGAGGCATGTCATGAGTTGCATGCTCCTGGAGCAGTAAAATGGGGAGGATAACCAATCTCTGACTCAGCTGACTTGCTTTTATCATAACAGGGGCATTTCCTGAGATCTCTGGTGCGGTGATGGCTGCACTTCATTCTTCTTATTCCTTATAGTCTTCTCAAGATTTTTTCAGCTTATAGACTGTAACTTTTTGAAACGTTCACTTAAAGTATGAATTGTTTATTTGACACCTGTATACAGGAACATTTGGGAGAATATTCTTATGGATGGTGGAAGGTGTATGTTCTTTATCTTGCTGTAACGTATGCTGCCTGATCTGGCTGAAATACCCAGATATATTAAGTTCTACTTTCCTCCATAAAGGAAAATGTGGCTGTTGTGAACTAGTTAGCCCTGCAGCAACCATTTAGGCCAGTGCTGGAAAACAGAATGTATGGGAAAATACTTAACCAGATTCTCTATTTGTTCTGTAGTGTGGCTCACGCTGACCACACTGGGAGTTGCTTCTAATTTCAGCTACATAAAGAGATGATGGTTAGAGAGGTTACATAACACGTTCATAAGCAGAGCATGTTGCATTGGCTCAGCTGGATGTGCCTTAACGTAGTCCTTTCTTTGGTGCTTGGCTTGCAGGCTCCTCACTCGTACACGTCTGTGCTAGTTGCTTCCAGGAGCTTATAATTCATTGTCAAAATCTTCCTTCCAGGCTGCTCTTGCAAAAGCAGTGCAATAACACCTTGCCTTCCTCTAACTTTGCAGCAGAATTTACAGGCAAGGTCTTGTCTGCATAGCTGGGAAAAAAAAAACGCAAGGGCACCTTTGGTAGGGCATGAAGTGTGCTTTTGCTGTTTTGTTTTGTGTTTTTTTTTTTTCTTTCTTGCTTTCTTTGTTTTGTTTAGCTTAAAACCACTTTTCATGAGTGTTAATATCCTAAGCAAAACCGGTGGTGCTAATTTTGCTTTCAAATGCACCCTCTGAGGCCATCCCTGCAGCCACAGCCAGCGCTGCCCTTGCCCAGCCCTCCTGTGTGCATAGAAGTGCCGCTGGCCCGTCGTGCTGCTGCCTGCCCCAAGGACACACAGACTGCTGTGCTGCCAGGACAGGGCAGGGCCCCAGGTAGCTGCTGCTCAGGCTGGATTTTTATCACGAGTTAAGGTTTTTTATTGTTTTGAAACCAGGATGTTGAATATGAATGTTTCAAGAATGAAGTATGTTAGCTTTTATCACCTTTTCATTTCTTTTTCATTACCATAGTATAATTGTTGCTTTATTAAAACTTTTTGCAATCAGAAAGTACAGACGTTTTCCCTTTTGAAGTCAAATATTATGCAACTATTTCCTAGCGAAGGAAATTGAAGTGAAATCTTGTGGTCAGGTGCTCCCAAAGTACCGTTGGTGGTACATAAGTGATGCTCTAAAAAAAAGAAGAGAGAGAAAGGAAGAAAGAAAGGAAAAAAAGAAAGGAAGAATGAAAGAAACAACAAAAGGAAGAAAGAAAGGATGAACGGGAGGAAAAGAAGAGAAAGAAGGAAAAAGAGAAGAAATAGCTTGTGGGGTGCTGTTGTCGTGTACAGGTAGGCTTTGGGAGGTTCAGGGCAGGTTGTAATTTTAGGAAGACAAAGGCAAAGAAAGCACAAAGAACTTCACTTGCATTTTTTCTGTATTCCAGATAACACCTTCAAGTACCTTTGGGGTACTGAAAAGATGCATGAATTATATAAATTTCACTAATTATTTTGAAATAATTACTACCCAAGCTGCTTTTGTAATTGCGCAGGTAAAACCTAGGACTGCCTCTTATTCTGTTTTGCGTAGGCTTTTAAATATTGATGACGACGCTACATAAATGGATTAATTATATACTGCAGCACTTTGATTCCCTTTAATGCTACATTTACAAACCACACAAATGGCCCAAATTATGAGATGAAGAATTGGCTGTAGTAAGCTTGAATATTTTTTCCTCATTATTCTGCCTTGAAAAAAGTTCCTTTTCCTTTACATTTCAGCACAGCTATATTTTAAAATACCTTGATCTGACAGCGGCTAAAAGCAGTTAAGCAAACCACAATTTGACACACGAAATGGATGAAATCTTAATTCATAGCTTTCCTTTTATCCACAGGGTAGTGCGTGTGACAGTTTATCAACCCGTGTTTTAGAATGACATTCTTTCTGCTCTGTGCCTTTCTCACGTTTGCCATGAAGAGGCAGAGGGCTGTGACAAACAAACGTGCCTTCAGCACAAGGGTTCACACGAAGCCCGGGGGTGGCCGGTCCTGTGCTTGCCAGCCACTTGTAGCCTTTTCCAGTTCCTTCCTATTCAGGTTGCAGCTTCTCATTCAACAGGTCTGTCTTCGTTTCCCTCCCAGAGATGAGATCAGCCTCATAAAACAGGTTCTTCTAACTGTCCTTCACCAGGCGCCGGTGGGAAACCTTTTGTATCACTTTCATTTGATTTGGGCTTCTGCCTAGCTGAAAATAATAGCAGCTGATTGGTATGAAGGGCACAGATTGCACAGGTATGAAGGCATGAGGAGCTGAAGTGCTGTTCTGGTAGGATTTCACCTGAATATTTTTTTGCTGGGTTGTGTTTGGGACTGGAGCTGTCCTGATGACAACCCAAAAAGCAAGTTCATCTGTTCTTTGTTTTTCCTTTTAAGTTACACATCTTTTACTCTGGTTGACTTTCCCACCAAGAAATGATTATGGTGCCTACAATGCTCAGGCTACTGTAAAACTTAAGCTCCTTTTTGTGTGTTGGAAGCTCAGCTTCAGTCTGTCTGGAAGTTCACGTGGCAGTGTTGAGGATGTACTCTTGACCAAGTGCTCTCTCTCGTATTTTTCTCAGTATATGTTGAACAATTTCAATTTCACTTCATTTTCTCTCACACTGCATTTGGACAATCAGTGTATTTTACTGTAAGGTAAAAAAAAAAAAATAAAAAAAGATCATATTTGGTTTCTTCTGCATCAAAGTGTACCTGTGTGCTTGTTTCTTTCTCATTACACTGTGTTCCAAATGACCACTGCCCTGCCCATGTTCAATGCCTACACTGGATTTCCTGGGTGTATTTACATGTAAATGTCTGTGTTTTTCACTCTTGGTATCACCTTTCAGAGATGCTCTGTGTAGGACTGATTAAGGTTAGTGGGTGCAGTGCAGAATCTTTAAAAATAGCTTTTGTGCATAATTGCACGTTATCTATTGAGTTTGTAATGTATTAGAAGAGGAGAAATACTGAAAAGTTCTGACAGTTATTGTTTCCATATTGAATGCAGAATGTTGTGAAGGCAATTTCCTTGACAGACTCAACTCCAGAGCACTTACTAGTATATGACTTTTTTTTTTTCTTAATCTACCTATGATTAATTAATCTACCTATGAGATACGCTATAGAGGTTTGAAATAGAAATAATGACTGCTTTATTTGTAAAGATGGCAAAACTTAGCTGAAACAACTTGTTCTCCATAGAGAGTTTGTGAGAGGGGGAAATAGGATAACATAGACCGCATGGTTGTGGTCACAAAAACTTTTTATTAGGTTCAAATACAAAATGTACACTTTTGAATTAAGTAAAACCTTCCATTACATTTTATTAATCTTTAAATTTGGACAAATTTGTTCAATATCTGGGGAAAAAAAAGTAATACATGGAAATTTCGGCCCCTTGCTGTTGTCTCTCGTGCTCCACATCTGAGTTGTTTAGACTTACTAGGTCTTGCTTTGGGAATTCCTGTCTTCTTAGAAAGAGAGCTTGAAGTTGGTACCTTTTGCCAATGGTAAACCTGCATGGGGAAACCTTCGCTTTTATTTACAGAGGTTTCTGAGTGAGCATACGAGAATTACTACCTGGAAGCTGAAGTCCTTGGGTATGTTTTGAGAACATGACCTGCTTTGGATGATTGTTTGAAAACAAACAAACCCCCAAACTTCTAAGCTGAACACAGCAGTGGTTTAGCTTCCAGGAGCAGTGTGTGTCAGGGCTGAGCCTTTGGCTGGCACAGGGCTCGCTCTGCTCCTGGCTCCGAGGTGCTGGGGTGTAGAGGCTGAGGGCTGTGGAGCAGCCAGCTCTCCATCCCTGCCATCCTGTGGGGCTGTCTTGTCAGCATCCTGCTTGCTCATGAGCTGGTGCAGCTCGGCTGTTCAGTACTAGTTCAGAGAGGTGAAGGCCCTTTCCAGGAACAGAGGGAAGCGACGCATTTGTAGAAATTTTCTGCGTGGTAGAAAGCAGCAAAGTAAATTATTGCTTCGTGTTGTCACAGATCTGTTTGTGGTGTGCAGTTGTGTGTACTGTACACCCTCCATGTTGAGTATCTGAAGCCTGTGTTTGCAAAATGCTTGTAGTGTCTGGAGGTGCTAATAGGGGTATTTTCTGCTGTGCCTGAATATTTGAAGTCAATCGTATTTCATAGGCTGGTTGGCTTTTCTAATTTCCAGTAGTCTCTGCTTTGCATCATTAGGCACTTACATAAGTTTGCAAATCTGGCCGAGTCCGTTACTATAATGTTATTTTACCTCTCCTGATCGTGCTGGCATCGCACGCCAAAAAGTATTCAGAGTAAAGTTAATTATACCAGTGATCAGACTGCATTATACAGAATGTTGCTTCATTTTATTTACTATCCATACTTCAAAATGACTCTGTGAACTTTGAGCCTGAAGCTTTTTGCCTTAAGGTACCAAAACGCGTCTTGTACAAAAATGGTTGAATGTACAGCACGCAGTTGTTAGCTCACTTTCCTTTGTTCTCTCTGCTTTCTGGAGAAAAGATCAAACAAAATGCAGTGGCAGGTAAGGATGTCTCAGAAAGCATGTAGAAGAAATGTAGCTTCCTGTTCCATAAATTACTTGCACTCTGCTCACCAGCTGCCTGTTATGATGTTTTATTGATGAATAAAAATGGTGTCTGAGGCAATAGAGTGCCTTGCATCTTGCAGCACTGCCAGTTATAAAGATGTCTTCTTGAATAAATTTCCCAATTAGAAAGTATTGACAAAAATATTTAATCTTTTTTACATCAAAGCAAGCTCAAACATCTGCTGCCAAAGTCAGACAATATCAAGTAATCTTTTAAAAGTATATTTTTATTATACTGACAGATGCATGGCTGCATGACATAGATGTCAATTTAAGTTACTAGTGCCATTAATACTCGACGAAGACGCGCTCCCAGAAGAATTTACGTTTTAAAAACGTTGTCAGATGAGTATATGCCAACAGAAAGTAACCAGAGTTAGTCAGCTGCGTTGTTAACAAAGCTAAAAGCATGTTATCTCCAGAGACACCACAAAAATTGGTATTCGCAGCATTTCTATTTTCTAACTTCAGCAGAATTGACAGCAGGAAAAAAAGGCATTTTTGTGACTGCAGATGTCGGTTTAAGCAACCTGTCCTTTTTCACTTCTCGTATCTTTTTGGCTTAGAGCGCAGAAAGATTTTCAGTTTCATTCGGGGTGAACTTCTTCAGCATTCATTTGCTTTCCACAAAATTTCGAATAATCCTTCTTCTAGGCAAGGGCACTGCTGTGAAGAGAGCACTGAGGAAATGTGAAGACTTGGGCCAGAGTTTCTGCCCCGCTTGTTCAGTTGATAAAGTGTTGGAAAGCTCGATGACTTCGCTCATTCAGAAAGCTGAGATTTAAAACATTTGTGTCCAGTTCTTATTTGTAAATTACGTTGGATTAGTCATTATTTAAATTTGCACATTTTAGTAACTAGATATTCCAATATGAATATTTCATAGTGAGAAACTAAGCTTACTTAAAATTCTCTTCTCCTTTTTTTCTTTTCTCTTTTTCTCCCTGGCTGCAGAAGTTTTTTGGAAAAAAAAACATTGGTTTTTGGAGCAAGAGTGGAGTGTTCTGCATAGAACTGACCAGCGCTCATGGAGCTCATTTAGCATCCCTGTCCTGGTGCTGTTCTTGTATATTTAAAAGAATTAAAGCCAAAACCACTGAGGTGCTGAGTCATTAGAAAAACTGAACTCCTAGTTGAGTCCAGGGTCATAAACACCTCATTAAGGGCTAAATTGCTATACTGAATGAATAGAGACAGTGTTTTCTCTTATGTGGATTTTTTGAGTAGATTTTTTCTTAAGAGAGGAGCCTGAACTTTTTTAGAAACAATCCTTGCTGCTAATACTTTTAGTATCTGTAATAATAAGAAATCTTGATCTACGGACTGGAGGCCACTCCTGGACTTGCTTTTGTTTGCCATACAGAGGCAGACAGAGGGTGAAATCAGTCTCTCAAAATGTAGAGTCCAACACTCTTTCAAGGGGAGATGCTCAACGTTTCATCCTGAAGCTGCTCTTCAATATGCACCCTGGAAATTGATCAACAAATGTTGCTGTTTTATTTTAATTGAACTCTGTGTTAGCTGATGCTGCCTCTTGCACGCCAGCGCTAAGGGGGATGTTTTGAATGGGGTTTATCAACATGTGTTATATTGCAGTCTGGCAGGGAACTGTGTATATTAGAATCACATTTTGAGATATGTATCGTGATTGATTCTCAAAATTGATGCCCAGCAATCTATTGTAGTTTGTAATGAGGTGGTTTCAGAAATGTTGGTCAGGTCAGCTTGAAAGGATAATGTTAGAAACGAAAGGAGGTGCAGGAAGTCCTTGCCATGCATTTCGTTGTAGTACCTTTAAACTTACTTTTCTTTCTTGTTCTCTGTCTCAGTGATGGTAACGATTCTCCTCCCCTACTCTGCTGAATCTTGCATGATTTGAGAATTCTATTCATCTCTGGAATAGAGAGGTAGGGGCAGAAGATTAGTCAAGACAGATTTATGAGATATCCACAAATATTGTCCTGTGTGCTACTTAAGGCTGGGCATGCCCTGAGTTGGGTGGCAGAGCTGTGCATGCACAGTGTAAGGCTGCAGCCTGGGAGGCAGTTTAGACCACACCAGCTTTGGAGGCTGAAAGCTCCGAAGTCCCGCTGCTGGTTGCTCATACATGCCTACCTGCCTCTACAATTTGTGCCTCGTTCCAGGAGTTTTGCAAGACTTGTCATTTGGGAGCACTGCTGGATGAAATGCAGCTGTGAATTAGCATAGGGGAAGGAGAAGTCATACTGCTGCAATGTAACGTGATGTGGCTACAGCTCTGGAGCTGTGCTCTCTGAGTCCAGGTGAAAATCCTCAGTTCTAGCTGTGGGTAAGGTGTTCTTACAGTGCTAAGCAACTGGGCATTTCTTTAATGGTAACACTTTCCCAAGTGTTCCCAAGTTGGCTGGATAATAGGAAAAACTTCTCCAGAAGAGTGATGAGGCACTGGCACAGGGTGCCTGGGGAGGTGGTTCAGTTGCTGTCGCTGGTATTGTTCGACAGTGGGGATGTGGAACTCAGGACATGGTTTAGTGGGCAGGATTGATGGTACGTGGAGGTTGGACTGGATGATTTAGAAGTCTTTTCAAACCTTAATGATTCTGTGAAAAATGGATTGGAACGTTTTGTTGAAGCCGCAACAGGTGCGTTAAAGCCACAAATCTGTTAGAAGTGTTTTTGCTGTTCCTACAGAGAAGAGTGTGGTGCTGACTTATGTTATTAGCAAGTTTTAGAAATGTATTGGAAAGGTAAACATTATCAGAAAAAAATGCATGAGAAAAGCTTAATTCTGAGAGAAGCCAGCAGATAAGAGTTTGCAGTGAGGACCTTGGCTGGGTTTCAGAGGAATCGTTTTTACCAATGGTAACTTGTGACAGTGAGGTACAGCAGGTTGTAGCGATGTCTCTCAAGTCTCTCAGAGATAATGACTGAAATCCTAGAATTCGACTCATTCAAGAACTGCAATGGTGATTGCAGGTGCATCCTACATTGCCAAAAAGAGTGATGTTGAATAGCAGACTCGTGGCAGAAGATAACATTCTGTCGCTCTTATTTTATTCTGATATGGAGTACACTGATTTTTATCTCAGATATGGTCGTTTTACTGCAGGGAAGGTGATATTACCTGTTACAGGAGTACTTCAGAAGCTGCTGTAAAAATATGTGGCTGTTTGCAGTTTGTGTCTGTCCTTAATACTGAATTTCAACGAGGACAAGGACAGGTAAATATAGAGAGATTGAAGTTCAGTATCGCTCTGTGAGATTTGTGGATGACACCAAACTGAGTGGTGCAATTGATATGGTAGAAGGGAGGGATGCCATCCAGAGTGATCTGGGCAGGCTTGAGAAGTGGGCCCTGATGAGCCTTGTGAAATTCAACAAGACCACATGCAAGGTGCTGCACGTGAGTTGGGGCAATCCCAGATCAGTACTGACTGGGGGATGAGTGAACTGAGAGCAGCCCTGCAAAGAAAGAGTTGGGGGTACGAATGGGTGAAAATTGGGGTATGAGCTTACGGTGCAAGCTTGAAGGTCATCAAGACAGTTGTGTCCTGTGCTGTATCAAAAGAAACATGGTCGAGGATGGTGATTGTCCACCTTTGTGAGAGCCCACCTGCAGTACTGCATTCAGCTCAGGGGCTTCCAACATAAGAAAGATGTGCATCTGTCAAAGCGGGTCTAGAGAAGGGTCATAAAAATGATCGTAGGTGAAGCATCTCTGCTATGAGTAGAGGCTGAAGTTGTTAGGCCTAGAGAAGACAAGGGTCCAGGGAATCCTTCTTGTAACCTTTTAATTCTTAAAGTAAGGCATGTACAAAATATTTTCCCCGTATTTTGTACAAGGACCCATAGTAATAGGACAAGGGGTAATGGTTTTAAACTGAAAAAAGGTAGATTTAGATTAGATACTGGGAAGAAATCCATTATTGTGAGGATGCTGAGGCATTGAACCAAGTTGGCCAGAGAAGTTGTTTATGGTTCCGTCCCTCATAGTGCTCATTGCCAGGTCAGATGGGGCACTGGGCAACTTGGTCTAGTGGAAGTGTCAACGGGGCACTAACAGTCTGGAGCTATTACGACAGTTTGTGTTTGTCAGAAAGGAGGATCCGATCTCCATACTCGTTTGCTGCCACCGTCTGTTTCCTAGTCACAGAGTTCTGCCTCTTGTGTATCTTTCTGTGAGCCAGTTCACAGCAATAATGTGTTGAAAAACTCTATTCAAAAAGAGTAGAGTCTTATTTTCACCTCATTTACTGAGTTCAATCTTAAGGAAGAATTCCAACAGCCAGAAGGAAGGATATCCTTTTCCGGGGATGAAAGATAGGAAAGGAGAAGGGAGAGAGAGATCTTCCCATTTTATCAGCACAAGCTGAGGTGTGAGGGAAAGGTCAATAGTTGCAAATAGTTGAACTGAAAGCGATTGTTAAGTCAAAGATGTATGTAGAGTTTTGGAAAAATAGATGAGGAAAACTATGTTTATTGTCAATTTTCTGTGAAAGCCTCAAGAAAGCCACAGAAAAAAAACAGTTCAGGAAATTTGCTGTTAAAAGCCTTCTAGTTAAGAAGCTAAGGGAAGTAATAGAAACAATAGCTTGTAGCAACAATACTGGAAAATACTCTATGTATCTTGTCCTGGAGCAGGACAAGTACAGGCAATAAGAAATACCTGCGTCCATCCCTTGTGCTGTTACTTCTATGCTGTTTTACAATATTACGATATGGCAGGGATCAGTTTCCCAACCATTTGAAGGGTGAATGCTTTACGTAAGTTTTCCTTCTGTTTTTGCCTTTGTAGTGATAAGAAAGTGTTTGGTGTGGCTCCAATTTATTTGGAGGAACATCGTGCATCGCCATGCTCTGAAAAACACCTTCCATAAGTGATGTATCCATTCCTGGGGGAGATAGGTAGATGGTTATAGTACAGAAACAATTAAGCGTGCTGAGAGAAATCCCAGCTTAGTTGCACACTTTGATTTTAGTGGAGCCAGGGCTTCTCATAGCTGTCCACAAAAGTCCCATGTCTCAGAAGATGTGAGGAGCTAATGAAAAGTTGCATCAAAGTTTCTCTGAAATGAAAGACTGTTATACTTCATTTGGTAATCAAAAATAAATGTGGTTTATAGAATTATAAATTCAGGATTGTAATTTCATGAGCTATTCAGTGCATCAAACTTTAATAATTTTGTTCTGTTTTATTTATTAGCTTTTATATATTAGCTTACATGCTCAAAGATATTGCAAAATTGTGTAAAAGTAAAGATTACAATTACAAATTACATAGATTGCATTTGCAGTAAATGAGTTTGGGTAAGTGGAGACTGGTGAAATTACTGAAATAAAAGCAATGGTAAATGTTTTGTGAAGCATCTTCTGCTTTAGTTCCAACTATATTTAAGTAGCACTCAACTAACAGTTCTCCTTTTGTTCTTCTTGCAGCTAATTCCAGCCTTCTTGGAGGTGGAGGAGGTAAGTCTTCCTACCCCTACAATTCTGTGATTCTGTAGTATACTATTTATTCTGATCGTGGAATATATGCTGAGGAAATGTAGTGTTCTGTTGCTTATAAAACCGTCTGTCTTACGCGGGATGGTAAAATTATCAAATGGGAAATTCCACTAAAGTCAGTAACATTTGATACCATCAAAAACCAGAGTCTGTGACTGTTGCTGAATTCATTTTCCTCTCTGGATACGAGTGGGGTGGCCTGTGTGTGGGACTGAAATATTAGGGAACCAAACTGTGTGTTACTCTATATTGTGGTTAAGTAATTCGATTTTTTAATTTCAGCTACTTCAGGGGAATTTTGAATGCCTCTTAATGGTTTAAAAAAAGTTACAAGAATAAAACAAGGTAGAATGTCTTGTTAGTCAGGTAATGTGGCTTTATCTTTGCTCCTCTTTTTCACTTGTTTCCTTGCCCCATTCCTGCTGGAATTATGAAATGGATTTCAGTACAAATTGCTTGTGTACGATGCTACCAACATATCTACTAGTAAGACAGAGGCACAAGTGCGTATAGCGAGCGCTGTTTCTAAATACGTTTCCTCTTTGAACATTGGTGCTATTTGGCTTTTTGCAGTACTGCAGGAGCTAACATGAGTGTTACAATTCAGGAAAAAAACATGCAGTGCTTGATTCAGTTTTCTGTTACTTACCCTGCCTCCCAGAGGGAAGTAAAAGAGCTCAGTTCTGGAAATTTCACAATGTAGGAGCAGTGCAGGCAGCTACTAATCTTTCTTCCTGGCTGGAGTTAAAAGGACTTGATGATCAGAGCTTACATATGCAAGGGTAAAGGAAAGAGCTCTGCAAAAAAAAAAAAAAAAAAGACAGAAAATTGCTGTTGCTTGTGAGGCTTTTGTTTTAACAACCTTAACTGAATAAGCAGCCCTTATTTGTGCATCATGAGCATGGGATTGTCACATGAAAAGGTGCTTGACAACTGCACCGAGACATCTAAATAAAATGGTTTGCGCTTCTCAGCTGTGTATCTGGATGTTAAATGTATGGAAGCCTTACCTGATAATCCCGTTGGATTAATGTGTTTCTTTTGATTTGAGCTAGTTGCTTGCAGTATACCTATTTTTTTTTGTCTTTGTTTAAAAGATAATCCTTTAAAAGGTAATCCTTTGCTAGCGAGTCGTGTTCCCATGGAGCGATCAGCGCACCTCCTCTCCACTGCTTACTCCCAGCTGGTAATGTGAAAAAAAAAAATCAATGCAAATGTTCAAATTCCAATCAGGTTCCCAGAGCACTGCAGCTCCTAACAGGATTTGTCTATTGACTTTCACTGGTATTTATTCAGCTGGACTGTACTTCAAAAGTTGATATCTTTTCAGCATGGCGCTTGGTAGCGTGGTCCTCTCTCCATGGCATAGGGGATTTTTCCTGTCATTTAGGGATGTTTTTGCTGCCTTCCCCACTGCTGCTCTGAGCTGGACAGCCACACAGTTGGGGAGCTGATTTTGTCAAAGTGTCTGACCTGTGTTTCATGTCTTAACCGTGGGAAGTGAAGGATGTTTGTCCAAAGAAGATGAATCACTTAGGAATCTGAAGTAAGTTAACTGGGGGAACATGCCGGCAAGCAGCGCCCCACAGATATGCTGTGGCTGGGCACCCATACGCAGCACCATGTTGGCCTCTGCTGCTGAGTGTGCTGGGGCCAGGCAGAGATTTGTGCAGCTCTGTGCTTCTCCATGATGTCCTGTGTGGACAGTCAAACAAGGGGAAGTCGCTCTGGTTGCAGCAGTGAGCAGTCATGTTGCTTCTTGGCCACAGGTGTAATTCACTTCCTCTGCAGATTAAACATGTGCTCAACTACACAGCGTGTTTTTCCCTCCACCAGCCGAAATAAAGGCTGAAAAATCTCTGATTCCTATTTATTTATTGGCAGTTGATGAACTTCTGATGACTGATTCTTGTATTGGGGGTTTAAAAAAAAAAAAGGGCTGCAGGAGCTGTGCTCAGGCCTCTGCCCCGTTCCCGCCTTGGCGCCTCTCCTCATGGCGGCGGCGCTGCCTGCTGAGGTGATGGCCGCAGTGGGCAGCTGAGGTCAGCGTGCTGCTGCTCCTTTCTTCCCATTCTCCCAGTTCCCCTCATGCCCTGACGTTGCTTTTTGGCTTTTGCCACTTTTCTGAAGTAAGCTTTCACAGCAGTGCCAGACACACCTCTGGTGGGGTCAGATTTTGGCGCAGGGTGTGGTCTGCTGGGGAGCTGCAGCTGGCCTGCATCCAGCAGCACTGACCTCTCACAGAGGTCTTCTCACAGAGGAGGTCTCCCCACAGCCAAGCCGCTTCCAAACACTTGCAAACAGCGCCCAGTGCAATCCCGGATCCTGTCATCTCTGGTGGAGGATAATCGCACATCCTGTTGGTTGATGATGGAGGTAAAATACCCAAACTGGTTGCTTTGTGGCTTAGAGTTCGATTGCTTACTGTTGCACTCCAGAGGGGCTGTGAGCTACTGTGGGGTAGGGCAGCCATCTTACCCTTGGTCACTTCCAGTGTAGAGTGGGCTCGTTTAGGTTTACTGAATCAGGCTAAAAGCCTAAGAATTTTGCTTAATAATTACACCTGACTTTGGACAGTGGCCGCAGACTGTTTGCAGCCTGCCCTTGAGGTGGCATGGCAGCTGTATTCCTTCAGACCAGAGAAATACAGACACTGTGTTCAGGCTGGACTTGCTAAGGGAGCAGAGTACTGTGACCTACAGCCAGCAGAGGCAGGTGAAACCCAGGCCCATGCTTCTGGAGCCTGTTGGGGAATGAACCTGCTGTTGGCAGTGTGCACTCCTATGCAGAAGTGATTCTTTCCTTCAGCTGAGAGCATTTGGTTTTAAAATCCCAGGTATTATTATTATTTTTTTTCCCTTTTCCACAAGTAAGGGGTAGCAGTAGTAGGCATGCAATATTGCTGATGAATTATTAAAACTTTATTATATATGTAAACACCAACATCTTCTTTTGATTGAGGGTACTGAATATTTATGATAATGCATAATACCAGTATAGTTTCTCCATTAATTGGATTCAGATCTCTTCAGTAACGCTGGTTAATTAAATCTCTCTGTCACTGCTGGGGGTATGAGTAAGTATCTTAGTTTTACAGAAAAGGAAAATCAGAAATTCCAGCTCGCTCAAATTGAGGCAAAAGTATTTGTGATTTTTGAGCTGCTGTTAAGCTGTTCTGTGTTTTACACTTTTCCAGACTCAAACACAAAATAGTTGGAAATCATTGTTTGTAAGCCCTGATCTAACCCAAATTACTCAATACTTGTGGTTAAAACAGCTTCTGGAGGAGATCTTATAAGGAATCCAGTGGGCACCATTGTTGGTAAACATGGCACACTTGCTTGTAAGTCCTGGTTACATTGGGTGGCTGCTCATCATCATTCCCATGTCACCTTGGAGCCACATCAAGGCATCGGTGTGCTTTGATTTCACAGAGCCTAAGTAACGATTTGTTCTTGCATTCCACATTTGAATGATGTCTTTTCATTTTTATGGCTATTTGGAATGAAGAGATAAAAGTACAAAAGATACCAGAAACAATTTTTCACAGAACTGTTTAATCATAAAATTGAGAAACTCACAATAGAGTTTTAGAAGAATCTTTAGTTAAATATAGATGTCGAAGGTTTCTTTCTGCTTTTCAAATAGCTCTGAAGTCAGTCCCAGATTTTAGTGTGAGTTTGGGGAGAAGTCTTTTTCCTTTTTCTTTCTTTACTGTTTTAAATAATTGATTTTTAATTAGGAGGCATATTTCACTGTCAGGGCTAGATTTATCACACATTCAGCATCTCACTGCTCCTAATAACTTGCGCTGAGCATTGTGGCTTATTTGTGCATCATGTATTATTTGTTCCATTGCGTTGAACAGTGCAAAGGTGAAAATTATTAAGAAAGTTACTTGCATCGGGAGGCAAAATACTTTGAGAGATGGGTACCCTTTTAAAAAATGTATTCTGGCTGTTCAGAAATTGAGATGCTTTACTTTGCAAGGCAGTTATTACTCCACTTGCAGGTCTGGGGCTTTGCGAAGGAATGGAAGGATGTGATCTCATGCACTGTGTTAGAGCAAAGTGAGCAAGAGCTGAATTTCCCCTCCCCCTGACTGTTCTGGATAGTCTGGGGTTTGGAGTTTTGTGCCCCTTTTCCAATTACCTCATTTTCAGTTATTTTCCTTGGGGTTCATTTTTCCTTTATTTCATTTGCTGACTGTAATCAAGTTCTTGTTGCATGCTAATTTCTGGATTGGCTTGCTTTCCTTGAGCTTAAATTGAGGGTATATATAAAACAGCAAGCTAGGGAATTTTTTTCCTTGCAAGGTTTTGGTGCCTATGTTAGAGCTGGGAAAGGAAGCATCCCCGTTTAATTTGCCGTATGATAAATACAATTTCTGTCAGCTATTTGTACTTCAGAATGGTAACTTAGACTTTAAAAACTGAGATGAGACAGGTTATACTCACAGTCTTTTGGAAGCATTGTTTGAACCCAGTTTAAATGGGTTGCCCAAAAAGATCTGTCTCCTTTTCTGTTTGTCTCTGTTTCGGGGCCAGTGTAAGTTTTTCTGGGCCTTTTACTAGCATGGAAAAAATTAATTGCTGTGTCGTCATAAGCATGTTAGTATATCTTAAATGTAGACCAGACCTACCTCTGCAGGCTTCCAAGACATTTGGAGGCAAATCATTTTAAGCAGATGTTATGGCTTGGGGAACTTATGTTCAAGAACTTGGTTTGGAACTGGGTTTCCTTGCACAGGATCAATTAGATTCCACTTTGAATTTGGTTCCTCTATTTGTCTTTACCTCTGCATTAGATTAGGAAAGTGGCAGAAAAAAAATCTGTTTTCTCTGGCTGGAAAGAAATGACCACAGCCTGACTTCTGCTATGGAAAATGGGTTTAACTGAAGGAAAATGAGCTATTCTGTGTCCTTTTACCGAGCCTGAGCACAAAATCACATGAAGGAGGAGATGGACTTTGCGCGAGGCTCTGTGTGCAGCTTCAAAATGCAAGCAGCTGCTGAAGGAATTTAATTACGTGTTCTTCCTCATCTGAATAGAGATTGAATGAAAGGGGAAGAGTGATACAGACCCGATTTTTCAATTTCATTTTTTTTCTCACCAGCAAGCTGGTATCTGGGCAGATGGCTGTCACTGCTTTCAGGGCTCACTTGGGTCCCTGCATTGTACCATTTGGGACCAAGTTGGTGGTGGAGCATCCATCTCCAAACATGGGAATGGCGGGTGTTTAGCAAAGCCATATTGGTTATTGCTACTGCTGTGCAAAGAGGGGATAGTCAGTGCTTCAGAGGGGAGTGCTATGAAGGCATCCTGTCTGTTTGCTAATTGATTGTTCAAAAAGCCAATGACAACTAATGATAAATACCATTTTTTGACACCCCTCTTGGACAGGCATAAAGTTTTCATTCTCACAGCCATGACTTAGGGACACTGCTACTCATTTCAGCCATCTTCTGATAGCTAAATCTCTGGGGAAAAAAAAAACAACAAGAAAAAGGGTTTTTTTACCATTTGAATGCTGTTACTGCTTGTAATCTGACATCAAGTTATGTAGCAAATGAATGTTCGTTTGCTTGAGAACTGAACGTTGTCCAAGGGAAAATGGGAGGCAGGGATGAGACAACTTGCAAAGCTCCCCATAGTCGTATAAAAGGAGAATACTTTGAATAGACTAGTTCTGTGCTGGCCCATTCAATAACAGTGAAAAGACAAGCCTGTTCCTTCCTGATCTGAGTTGCTCTCTGTTTTGAATTTCACAGGGTTTGGGCTTGATATTTACATAATTCAAATGCAAGTAAAGCAAAGGTTTAAATCCAAAGTTCATATTTGTACTTGACGTGCGCATAATGTGAGTGTATCCCTTGAGAGGAGAGGAGTTTGAGAAAGGAGCACTGACAGGATTCTTTCATCAAGAAAATAAGCGTTATTATTTTGTATTTTTTTTTATGTCAGTCTGTTGGCATTTTCTTGTATCTTGTCAAATACATTTGTCAGATAGAGGTGTGCTTGCAACAAATGGCTTCACGGAACAAATGTGCTTCATTTTGAATTCCTGCTTGCTTCAAAAGCTTTCAGTTGCTTTGTGTGCTGTGTCGTCATATCTTAGGTATGTAGAAAATAGCCACAAAGGTACAAAGATTTTCCCAGGGAATAATGATCGAGTAGAAGAACTGATAATAATTTAAGGAA